GTCTTGATTCTTACTGTTCTCCATTGCTCAGGATCCACCGAGGAGCCTGGAGCCCTGGTTCAGAGCTGGGGCTGGCTGTCCCCAGGCAGGGGGCCGGGGTGGCGGTGGGGCTGGGGCGGGGGCAGCGTTGGGGGAGCTGCAGTCCTCCAGCCTCCAGCCTCCAGCCTCATCCCAGGCCCTAGCCCAGAGCACAGCCGCCCCTCCCTGCCAGGGAGAAGTCCTGCTGGGCTCCTGGAGGCGAGGCCATCAGTCGGAATGCAGCAGTCACAGCTGAAGGCAGCTGCAACTCTCATTAAAGTGACATCAACCCCACCGCAGGAGGATGCTGTAAATCCAGGGAAAGGGGGCATTCATCCAGGAGGAACCGCAGAAGCAAAGAAAAAAAACCATAAATAGAGGAGACGTGGTGTCTGGAACTAATGGTGGGGCCTGGCCCAGGGCCGCGCTGAACTGGGGGTGGGGAGGGACTCCAGGCCAGAGGAGGGCGTGGGGGTCCTGAGGCAGGCGCTCCGCCTCCTGAAGGGTCAGGGCGCAGCTAAAGCCCCTCCCTGCAGTTCTGTCTCCTCTGCCTTCTCTGCACATTCCGGGGCTAGCTCTGGGAGCAGAGCTGGCTCGCGTCCCCGGGAGAACTGCCGGGGACATGTCGCTATTCATGGGCTTTCCCAGGGACAAGAGGAGCTGTAGGCATCAACCATTAAGACTTTTTTCTGCGGGAGAAATCAGCCGTGGGTCAAGCTCTGGGCTCGCAGCTGGCCACCTGGGTCCAAATCTGACTCTGCTACTTACTTCCAAGCTGTGGACCTTGGGAGAGCGGCTTCTCCCTTGGGAGCCTCAATTTCCCTCCATCAGAGCAGCGGACACAGTCACCCCTACCACACAGGCTTGGGTGTGGATAAGCTTGTGACCCTGTCATGTCGTCTGTACGTGCTGTTTGTCGAATGACTGAACAAATCCCTGTAACCTCAAAGGCTGGTGTTTGCTTTCGGATCCATTCCCTCCTGCCTGAGTCTGGGTTCAGCCATTAATTTCTTAGAGACTTCGGACAAGTGACTTGACTGTCCAGGGCTTTGGGATTTTCTCCTGGGAAATGAAGGGGTTGTCAGAGGTGGACTCGGGTGGACGGTGCCACATCAGGCAGTAGTTGTAACTCCCCTTTGCCTGGGGTCTGTGGAGCGGCCCAGGTCTCCAGGCCCCTGTGAGCTTTGGGCTGCATTCCAGAATCTTCCCCCCGGGGTCCTTCTGGACTCCCTTCTCACCAGCTGCACCAGGAACTTTGGACACTCTGCCACGCCCACCTCTGCCCTCTTGTCCTGGTCTCAGTGGCGCTAGTGGCCTGTTCTGCAGAAGGCAGAGGCCAACCACGTTCTCCTGAGCTGGATGAAGGGGGCTCCCGTGTGCCCTGCAGTGGGCGGCCCAGTCACCTGGAGAGCCTGTTCAGTGACAGGTGGCGGGGTCTCCTTCCCCAGGTTCTGTTTCAGCAGGTCTCAGATCGGGCCTGAGAATTTGAACAAGTTCTCAGCTGCTGCTTGCTGCTGCTGCTGGCTAGAGTGGTCTTGCCAGAATTCAGGCTTCCTTTTCTTTATTAAAGCAGCTGAAGCCAACGGGTGGCTTAGGCAGACTCCAAGAGGCCGGTGTGCAGGCTTCCGAGTCGCCTGGGACCCTGTGAGGCCAGCATTCACAGATGCGCAAAGAGCTGGTGTGGGGGATCTTAGTGGAACACTGACTTCACACCTTTAACCAGCTCCTCGTCCACAGAGGGCACTGCTATTGGAAATTCAGTTTCCTTTGATGGCCTCCCTCACTCTTCTCCACCAAAAAGACTTAGAGAAAAAGGGGGTGAGGAGAGAAAAAAGTAGGCATTAAATCGGGTAAAATGGTTTAGGGGGAGGAGTTGCACCAGCGCAATCAGTTGAAAGGAAAAGCAATGCAAGCCGTCTTCTGAAACACCCAGAAATGATCCCCAAAGCTGGGCCTGGGGGAGACAATGTGACTCACCTCTGCGGAGGGCCAGACCCACACGGAGCAGGCAGAGGCAGCCTGCTGATTTAAAGGATGCTTCTGGGCACATCTCACCCCAGGGAGGGAGGCTGGTGATGGATGAATGCGGCAGCTGTGACTTCCTAAGGGTCAGGGGCCGACCAGGAGGGCCACCTGCTCCACCACCAGGATGTGGTTTAACAACAAACGAGCCACTCAGAGGAAGCACCCCAGTGCACGGCGTGTGCCGTCTCCAGTCCAGGCACCCCCAACACTGTTCTTCAGCCCGTTGGAAAAGCCAACCCCCTCATCAAAGGTCAGTGCCCTGGGGCTCAGACCCCTGCTGTTGGCACGCCTGCCCCACTTCCGGTCCCGTCACCAGCAGCTCTCTCATTCTGAGGCCCTCTGGGTGGGCCATGGCTAGGGTGATCCATTTTCCTCCCCTCACAAAAGGGACATCCAGCCTGACAGGAAGGAGTGGACTTCTCAGGGCACACAAGGAAACAACTCGAATTAGGGCTGACTTTGCATCGATGGTCTGCATGGGGACCACGCTGTGACAGTCCCACAGGTTTCAGAGTATCTCACCGTTGCATGATGGCCTTCTGAGCTCCTCACAACCCCCTAAGAAAGGCAGAAAAGTGATTAGATCCTATTTAAAAATGAGAAAACGGAGGGTAATGAAATGAAAAAACTTGCCCAACGCCCCACATCTAAGAGTTTGGGCCCAGACAGGAAGGACAGCTTTCTCATTCCCAGTTGGTGTCTCTGTTAGAGTGAATTTAACTCACTTCTTGGAAACTGGTATTAGGCTTGGGGCAGGAGGAGCGAGAGAGGAGAGGTTGTCGTACCGGGTGCTGGGGTACACAGCCCAGAGCCCCCTTCAGGATGGAGGCACTCATCACTGTCCAGAGCGGTGTCTCTGCAGAATTGCCCAAGGTTATGCCCCCTCCTGAGGTTGGGGATAGCTTGCATCCAATGACCGGTTGACGGGGGTACAAGGCTTGGCCCTCTTGGCTCAGTGCAGGACATCTCCAGCTCCAGAGCTCCCGGTGGGGTTGGCCTAGACCTTGGTGGCGACCGCGTTGCAGCCCAGCTTCTCCCTCTGCCCGATCCTGCTTCCCTCTCTCCCCAACCGGCTTCATCCCAAGAGCACCTCAGTCAGGGCATGCCATTCCCTTAGCGTCTGTTTCTTAGGAACTTAAGATGGAAGAAGAAGCAGACAACATCAACGGGGTGCTGTTCTGGTTTTTTTCTTTTTCCAGACTGTCTCATTTGATACAATACATCTGTGAAATGATATTTTTGCTATTTCATTGTTAAGGAAAGGGTGAAAACGTTATAAAGACCAAAGAGTTTGTATTGGGCAATGCTGGGAGTCTAAGCCAGATCCACATGGACCTTGAAAGCGCCCACAGACAGATGCCCTGACCCTGACCTCTGGGGTCTACAGTGGAAAGAGCTGGTTGGCCAAAGACCTGCCTATGGTGCTCAAGTAGGGATGTAAACACTCACGAGAGGGGCGTTCACACCTGGGGTACGACCTAGGGGAGCAAGGTAAGAGGAACAGTGGCCGCACGTGGCCGTCTTGATGGCTAAGGGGGCAGCAGGCAGCTCTGGTGCAGGAAGACTCAGGCTGATTGAGGGTCCTGGAGCCAGAGCCACAAACTCCGCCAAGGTCCTGCCGGTAGCAAACCGCAAACCCCCTCCCCACAGGCTGGGCGTAGTGGGGCCTATTGTCTCTGCACATGGGATTACAAAGAGGGGTCACCAGACCCAGGCCTGATCCTGTCCCAGCGATCTCTGCCATGTCTCTGGCTATTTGATGCTCTACCTGGTCCCTACGCAGCTGAGGACTCCCGCAGCCTGGACTCTGGGGCCGACCTGGTTGTAATCAGGGACAGAAGAGGGAGTCCCAGGTCAGTCTGCTGCTGCTGCAACAGGCCTGTCAGAGACTTTCCCTCGGGCCCCAGCCCCTGCGCATTCTGGAGACACAGCGGGTAATGGATCTTCCCTGAACACTTGTCTTTTGAGACCTGGTCCCAACTTTTCTTTTTTTTCTTTTTTGATATATATGTCTTTTATTCTACATTTCATTTCCATATTTCAATGTATCCATATTGTACATAGTTATAAAGCACTTTATTGTGGAGAATCTTGAAAATATACAAAAGTGGCCTGAATAGTATAATGATATTCCACTTCCCAGTTATTTCACTTCTATAATTATCAGCCTGTGATCCATCTTGTTTTATAGAAACCCTCCTTCACTTCCCCCTCTCCTAAATTATTTTTTGAACAAATCCAAGACATTGTATCACTTTATCCATAAATAGTTCAGTTTTTTCAGTTAATAAATTGTGAATATTTTTTCATGTCACTAAAAATTTCCCTATTACTTTATTTTTAATGGCTATGTAGTGTTTCATCATATAATTGCTTCATTATTTATTTGGACAAGCCCCTATTGTTGGACATTAAAGTTGTTATTGGTCCCAACTTTAGAGAGGGGGTCTAAAGTGAGAGCCATTCCCTGCGGGACAGCAGGCCTGGAACTGCACCCGGGAGGAGAGCAGGCACCGCGGGGCCGGAGGAGTTTCTTAGCACTCATTGGCAGCTGCTGTCATTTGGCATCTGTCTGGAGAGAGGCTCGTGTGGGCCCATCCAGTTGCCTGGAGATTCTGAACGCTTATTTACAATTCATAGTCATAGAAACAAAAATAACTCGTGTCTCCTCCTATTAACCGGGTCCTTCCACTGTAAACAGAAACTGCAGACGACACAGCTCTTCCTGTGTCTGGAAGTGACACCTGCTGAATGCACCCTCAGGAAGTGGAACTTTCTGGTTCCTTCAGTTGCTTGACCCATGTGTGCAGAAATTCCCCATCACCTCGGGAGCGGAAATGAGTGCCTTGAAACGAGAAGGCACTGGGTCCGGAGCTGCGGTGCGGGATTTGCATGCTGGTCAGTCTGCACCCAGGATGGAGTGGCAGCAAGGCCCTGCCCTGCCCAGCACCGGGCTTTGGTTTTCTCACCTGGTGGGGAATGTGCTTTCAGCCACCGAGGAGGTCTGTTTGTGACTGCTGTCTTTTTCTTTTTTAATCTTTGTGAGGAAAAAGCCCGTGGTGCCCCTTGCTTCCTCTGAGCCGTTTTGTTAGTTGAGGTGTTTGCATACTGAGCTGCACAAACTAATATTTTCCTCTTCAGCAAAACATTCATTATCCCACCCAGTCACCTTTCTCTCGGGCATTTTTTTTTTCACCACCCCTGAGCTGTTGGGCACCGAGCAATTTCTGTATTTTCCCATCATCGCAGCAAGCCGGCTGCTGGTCTGGAGCGAGTTGTCCCATGTGGCTGGGGGCAGGCCCTCCTTGTGCCCCAAGGCACCTGCTGGGGGCTGTTCCCCCAGCCCTTCTGACACCCGGGGAACCGTCTGTTTACATCTTTTGTTTCCCCACACAAGGCTCTGAACGTACTCACTTCTGTATTCCCCATGTCCAGGATGGTGCCTGGCATGTGCCAGGGTAACAAATAAGGTTCCCTTTTGCCATCTGTCCCCCACTTACCTCTCTCGCCCATCTGCACAAGGAGCTCTTGAAGGCTCACTTCTGGTCCTTTGCTGTCCCCTCCCCTGCGTCACCCGCAGCTATTCTCAGCTGCCAGCCAGCCAGCCGGTACCTTCTCTGGGAGCCCAGTCTCCTCTCCACCAGTCTCCCCTTGGCTGAGAACAAGAGAGGACAGAAGGGAGAATTCTGGAGTCTAGGGACGGAGGGATCAGGGGACAAATGCAGACCTTAGCGGTCATCTGGTATGAGCTTCTTCTCTCCTAGTTCAAGGGTAAGGTCTAGAATGCTGAGCTGTCTGGTTCAAGGTTACCTAGCTGGTGAGTGTTGGAGCTGGGACTCAGACCCCGGCAGATGCTGAGAAACAAGAGCCTCCTAATTAACTCTGGGTGCGGGGCCTTCCAGTCCCTCCTGCTACCGCATCCTGTGAGGAAGGGAGGAGGGGGCGGCCTCATCTTCCCCTTGTGTGCAGCACAAACGACTTTCTTCTCCTGTCTCCTTTGACCCACACAGCATCCCTCTGAAGCGGGCAGGGTGGTGATGGTTATCTCCAGGTTACAGATGAGGAAACTGTGGTGCAGAAAGGGGAACTGTCCTGCCCAAGGCAGCAGAACTGGTCAGGGGCAGAGGCGGGCTGAATTTCCTTCTCTGGCAATGAGTTCAGGGTCTATGCCCTGACCCACCACTCTGTCAAGTCCGTTCTGCTGCTCTGACCCTTCCCTCCAGGACCCTGGGGCCTCTGAATTGACCTGGCTCCAACAGAGAGGCGAGATGCCCTGCTTCAGAAGGGAGCCCAGGGGGTCAAGACCACAGCCCAGGATCCCTCCTCCCTGCTCAGGGCCAGGCTCTGCAGACAGTGCGGCCTCCCCACACAGTCCTGATGCTCTCGCCTCTAGGATGGGGAGCTGGGGGGCTGGTGAGTCTCTGGTACACAGGACAGCAGCTGAAGGTGCTGAAGGTTCTGAAGGTGCTAAAGGTGCCGTAGGGCACCCCTCCCACACCTCCTGGCCTTCCTGGATATTTGCTGAGATAAAACCTCCCTCCAATGGGAGAGAGTTTGAAGTGAAACTACCCCATAGTATTCATCCTGCCCCGCTAGGGAAAGTGGGCAGGTAGCTCGGGAAAGGATTCTCTCTCAACATCCCCTACCTTTTTGGTTCTAAAATCAAGCTGTTCCCCAGCAAGAGGGAGACCCTGTGTGCTGGTGGTCCACACTCTAAAGGGTGGAAGGGGGCTCCTAGGAAAGGGTGAGTAACTAAGCCACGGTCCTCTCAGGCCTGTAGGACCAAGCGCTCCTCCTGCACTTGGGATGAAGGCAAGCGGATGGCGGCTCCGTATACACATGTTTTCTCCAGGACCGGACTTTCGCATCATAACCCATCTCCACCGAGGACTGATTTCTGTCAGCTGGTCTGAGGGAGACCGCTAAGGAGAGAAGACTGATCTGAGTTTCTTTTGTTTATCTGACGGTCTGTTTCCATCTCACCCCTACAATGTAAGTTATAATGCTTTAATAGGTTTATACAGAAATCTGATGCTAAAGGTCATACTCTTGAATCTTGTACTACACGCAGTTTACCTATCAATTAGCTGCCTCTGAGACCCCGATGCGCCATAGTCAAAAGCATCTTGCACTCTCAGTAGCTGGCTAGGGGCCTGTTCACATCGGTGCCCTGCTCCAAACCTAACGGCTTCCACAGCCTGGCCTCCACGGCCCAGCATTAGCTTCCTCCTTCCTCACTGAGCTTCGTGTCCCGCACCCGGCACGAGGCTCTCTCCTTCCCTATCTACCTTCCTTCCATGACTTAAAACCAGACCCCGTTCTTGCTTTCACTTCGCTAATATGGGGTGGGGTTAGATAAAAACAGATATTCAAATACGCAAGGTAAACCCAGATAAGTGCTATGCATGCGATAAAGCAGGGCGATGTGCTAGAGAGTTCCGTGGGGGCGGAAGTGAGATCAGATTCTTTGACCCACCCCCACGAGGGGCAGAGGTAAATGCGGGGCATTGGGGGAGGCCTGTCCACATGCCACTGCCCCAGGATGCCCACCTGCACTCAGGGGCTGGCTGTGTTCTCTCCCACCTCTGGACCTTCCCCCCCGTTCCTGGCAGGGTGTCATGTGGCTTTAGTGCAGTCCAAGTCCCGTCTTCTGCTGAGCTGTAAGCCACCTATGGGTAGAGAAAGCATCTCTGTCAGCCTCAGGCCTCCCACTTGCCCCACACATGCCAGGCACAAGGTGACTGTTCATGAGAATTTGCTGGCTAGGTATGCAAGGATCTCTCCCACCTCAGAGGACGAAGGGCAGGTGGGGCCCAGTCTTGGGGCCTTTGGCTCAGAAGAGAGGCACTTCTGTGCCCTGGACAGGGACAAAAAAGGGGCATAGTTGAATGAGAGAACTCATCCCTTGGGGGAGAGGTGCTTTAAGCCAACCCAGGTAATCGTGAGACAGGAGCAAGTCAAATTCTTTTAAAGCTTTAAATAATTTGCGCCGACGAGGAGCCTAAGAACAGTATCAGCCCTCTTCCCTGGCCTGGAAAGGTCTGGAACTGTGTATGGGGGTGGGGGAAATTTTTCTGGCACAGGCACTTTGATGAAGAGTCCAGGATGGTTGTACAGAATCACTGTGGGGGTGGGAGTGTATGGTTTGGAGTTTGTGTGCGGTGGGGGTGTTTGTGTGTCATCTGTGACTGTGGTTCTGAAATATTGGCATAGGATGTGAGGGAGGATGCGTGTGTGTGTGTGTTCAAATGTGGTGGTGATGGCGTGCGTGCGGTCAGGTGTGGTGGGTGGCGGTGCCGTGGTGGCTGGGGCACATGTGTGTTGTGTGGTGCGTCCCAGGCACGCCGCCCATGGTGTGGAGGATGGAGGGGATGGAGGTGTGTTGATGTGTTCTCACAGAAGGCAGTGGGGCACTTGTCCAGGAGAGGGGGCAGGGAGAGGCTGAGGGGCGGTGGGCTGGGTGCTGGAGGTCAGCAACCCTGGTGTCTGGTATGTCGCTGTCCCAGGTAGTAGCCGGGGTCATGTTGAGGACCCCACAACTGGAAGCCATCAGACCCCCTGGCCCCACACTGGCCTTTGGGGGATGGTCTTGCCTCCTCAGTTTCCCTTTGACCTGCGGTCCCTCTGTTTTGAAGCCCTATCCTCAAGCCCCAGCCCCACTCTCTATCCTACTGCCCAGAGCAGACACCAAAATATTTCTGCGTTTCCTCTGGAAAAATCCTGGGAGGTCTGCTTATGACTGCAGCAAAGCAGCCCACATCTGTGCACAGCTCAGCTGGGACAGCTAGAAACTCAGGAACTGGAGTTGGCTGGAGTTTGGAGCACATCAGTGTTTCCCCATCTCTGCACAACCAGCATAGAGGAGTGAATTCACGTGCCTCCAGATGTAGCTCTTCCTGGGTCCCCGTGCGCGCACACCCACACGTGCAGACACGCTCTCGCACGCGCTCGATTTTCGTAAGACAGACAGAGGCCGCGCCAGGACACACAAGCACGCAGGTGAGCCTGCACATGCTGAGAGCCATCTCAAGCAAGCTTCCTCAAAATATAGAAGCTGGCACCCTGGGGCCTGTCCCACACGTAACGCCTGCCTCCCCAGACACACAGGGCAACGCACGCTGATGCAGCACACCCACACGCGGACACGCAGCACACAGGAAAGTGTGATTCACCCCCAGCCACCTACAGAAACCCCCCACACCCAACCTCAGGCAACACCTGCCCTTTCAGGTAACGGGACAGGCCCGCCCTCCCCTGGGAGAGCCGGGTACTCCGGAGAGGGCAAGTGTCTCTGTCCTTCCCTTTCTCTGTCCTTGCTCTCTTCCTTGGCCCTGGGTACCCTGGATCTCCTACTCACAGGTGGTCCTGAGTGGCCTCAGCACCTGTGTGGTCCTCGGCCTCAGTTTTCTCCTCGTAAAGCAGGGGCTGGGCTGGAGGGCTGCTCAGGCCCACCCAGTCTGTCACTGGACTCTCCGCCTGTTTCTCTAGGGATGACTGAATGGGGAACAGCCCACCCTCCCAGGCCGAGTGCTCAGGCCATCCAGGGAGGCAGGAACTGCCAAGCTCTCTGAGGACCAGAGGCAGGGGCCTGCCTGTGTGGAGGAAACTGGAGGAGTGGAGGGGTCATCCCCTAGGAGCTGGCTGGGCAGGCAGAGGAGGGCCACTGTGTGTTGGGATGCTAGGCACTGTGCGAGACAGGGGAGCTAAAACCAGAGGAAAGCTGTCCAGCCGTGCAAGGGTTAACCTGGGCTGGCGGGGAGGCATGCAGCCAGCCCTGCTGCTGGGGCTTCAGACTGTTCTCAGACACAGTCCCGGAGAGGGTGAGGGCCCCAGCAAGTGCCGTGTGTTCGGTGGCCGCCATGCCTGGTGAGGCCCAGGGCGGCCTGTTTGCCGCTAACTTTTCAGCCTGCCCCTGGCTGGGCCCCTCTTCAGGACTTTTGCTTCCCATGGCAGCCTAAGCCAGACGCCCTGGGGGCCCTGAGCTGGGACTGTGGGCTGGTGTAGCGGGAGTGCCTCCCCAGCTCTCCCCCAGCCATGGCCCCCTCTGTAGGGCAGGGCAAGGGACCTGAGTGCCCCTCATCCTGCGAAACCCACATCTCTCTCCAAAAGCCTTGTGGCCTCTGGGACCACTCTCTCCCCAGCCCCTCTGCCCCTGCCAGGAGCTCATCTCCCCCCATTGCTAACCCCTCTTTCTGCCCCCCTCACTCCTTCAGGCCTGTTCTTGGATCGGCAATGACTGCCTCTTCTCCCTTAGCCAAACCAGGCCTCCCAGATTCCAGCAGAGCTTCCTGGTCAGGATAGGAATTTGCTCTTCAGGGCAGACAGGGGAGCGGGGAGCAGGCCCTGGAAGTGGGGAGGGGGAGAGGGCAGATGGGAAATAGAAAGTGGAAGGAGACAGAAGAGAACTGACATTTGCTTAGGTGTAGGAAGGAAGGAGGGACGAGTTTAGTGTGGCTGCAGGATGTCCAGCAAGCGGGTGGCGGGGGGAGGTGTGGCGGGGACAAGGATAGAGTTTCCAAGTTCCCTTGTTTTGCTGGGCAACCATTTCAAGGCCCCAGCAGGCCCACATGGGGACGAGACCTATGCCTTTGGCCTCTCCAGTAATGTATCCCAAAGGCCTGACCTTCTCAGGCCAGATCAGGAGTCTCTGGGGCTCTTAGAGGGGTGTCTTGGGCTTGGGGTGCTCTTTAACACCCCTCCATCCATACACAGGGCCATCTTGGTGGCCTCTGGGTCCAAAGGCATTTCCAGCCCCTTGGGACCCTCACTGTGCATACCAGCCCAGGCTGCACACAGACCCTCACTCTTCTCTGAGCTGGAACATCCCAGAAAGTCTCAGCTCTCTGTCCATACTCTGTGAATAATTCTGGAATTTTCTAATCTAATCATGGGTTAAAACCCCCCTCAAACTCCACTGGAAGCCTCAAGGCATTCTCCACCCTTCATATCGTATTTGTGAGATCTGGGGCGAGTTTGCACCTCAGTTTCTTAAAGGCAACATGGGGGCCCCCCACCCCCGCACTAGGCCAGTGGTGAGGTCAGTGTCTGCTGGGTACCCAGCCCGGTGCCTGATAACAGTGGGAGGCCCCTGATCAATGTTAATTCCCCTCTCCTTCCCCTGCCACCCCGCTTACACTTCGAACACTATTTAAACCAGAGGAGAGCAAGCTGACCTCACTGCCCTGGGACAAAGGAACGATGGCCTCCATTCAAGGGCAAAGTACAGGAGTTTTTGATTAACTCAGGAACACCACTGCCTTCCAGCTGCCCAGCTGCAGCGGGGCGGGCGGGGTGGGGTGGAGCGGGGATGTTGCTGAGGGAAAGTGCAGACAGGCGATTGAGAAATTCAGAAATCTAGGGAGGACTTGGGGGCAGGGAAGGCTGCGGCCAAGGCCTTCTCCCACCTCTCCTCTCCAGCCTGGGCAACGCCACAGCCTGGCCAGCACCTGTCTGAGAAGGGGGACTCCCGTGGGACTGAAAGGGCTCTGGTGTTCCCTTCCTCTGCCCCAGGCTCCCTCCCCTCAACCACAAGTGCGTCAGATGCGTATCTTTCTGGACTGGGCTGGGGCGAGGTCACGCTGGCTTTGGAGGGGAGGAGCTATGCACCCTCTAAATCAGTGCCCCTGTGGACCAGGGACTTGGCCAGAGAGCACTGGGGGTGAGGAGGAGTATGGGGGGTGGGGGGCCCAGAGCAACGGGGGACAGTGCTCCCTGAAGAACCCCACTGTGCTCACATCAGAGGGTCTCCCAGGGATCAGGGGCCCCTCCTCTGCCTGCAGGACAAGGGGCTCCCCGCCCACTCCAGGAAGAAGGCCAACCCTGTCTGTCCTCCACACCGAACATTCCACGTGGTGGCCATCCTGCTCTGCACACTCTTCCTGATTTCTAACCTGAGTCTTTCCAGCCAATCTGATAGAATCCTGGAGGTTTCATGATACCAAGTGAGCAGCTTGTTTTGCCCACTGAGGATGAACCAAACTTTGGGAAGATTCTAAATGGCCCATCTCTACCCTCCATCCAGCTCCCAGCCTCCCAGCCTCCTCCCCACCCAGCCACATGGGAAAATCCCCAGTTAGCCCTCCCAGATCTATGTGAATGAGGCCACGAGTCAAAGGCAGTGGGCAAGAAGGAGGCCACCCAGAGAAGCCCGAAAGAACCAGTCCTTTGTGCTGGACTGGGGTCCTTGGGGGATGAGTGCATTTTTGGCGTATTTAGAAAGATTTCTTTTTTTATAATGAGCAGCAGAGGGGGAGAGGGGAGGGAGGGAGAGGCAGAGAGGCCCAAGGCAGGACTTGGGAAAAGAGAGGGGAGGAGGAGGGGTGCAGGCTGGAGACAGAGGTTGTAAGAGCACGTGGAAAAATTAAGAGGAGGCAAATTTCGAGAAACGGGGAGACAGGGATGAGCAGGGCAATTCTTAGGACAGATGGAAATTTCGATGTCACCTGAATGGAGATCTAGAGAAAGGGTGCTAATGTTTGGGCACAGAGGGGTGGATGAAATGAAGGTGGAGAGAAAGAGGTTTACTTCCATCTTACACTTGGGAAAAACAGGCCTCGAAAGGGATGAAGACACTGGGAGCCAAGCTGACCGAGCTTCTGCCTGGACTGGGCACCGTACCAAGGGCTTCACAAACCGCGCCTGGTTTAATCCCCACGACAACCGTGTGAGGCTGCGGGTCTATCATCATCCGTACTCTGCAGGCCAGCAACCTTGAGAAGTTGGGCACCTGCCTGGTACCTAGTGTGACATCAGCCACTAAGAAGCGGTGGCCTGGCGCTGAGCCCGCAGAGCTCACGGGCGCCTCCTGCTCCTGGGTGAGGCTTGGTGCAACCAGGGGAGGCAGAAGCGGCAGCCTCCTGACTTGAGAAGATACATATATTCTAGCTGTAGACACAGGTCCTTCCTCAGGGTCAGTTCAGAAGGTCCCAGGTAGCCTTCCACACAAGGCACCATCTCCTTCCTGCCTGCGAGCCCGGCCCCCCGCCATCTGACTCCTTTTGAGAAGAGGTTGTTTTTCTCTTTCATCCAATACCCTGTGCCCTCAGGAGCCTAGGAAACTACCTTCCTCCTTAGCATCTTTGACGCCTCCCCCCTCGTGACGCTGTCCTCTCACGCCCCTGTTTTCCCCTCCGCACGCCTCATTGCCAGTACTCTGGTCACACATTTGTTTTACCCAGGGACTGCCTTTACCGGAAGCCCGAAACCTGGCCCTGCGCCGGACACAGCTGAATGACAATGCAGGCCTTCCATAAATACTCAGCTCCCTGCGTTCACCGCTCCATGCCTGGAGCATGCAAGGGGCTGGGGACAAGACGTAGTCCCTGTTCTTGGGGCACCAGACAGAGCTGGGGAGAGGGGTGAGTGAATCAGTGATTACACAGCCTGGTGATGGAGATGATGGCGGAGGCCCCAGTGAGTGCCGAGCCTGGAGGTGGGGCGGGTAGAGGGAGGAGTGGCAAGTCCCCGAGGGCTTCCTGGAGGAGGTTTGAACAGATAAGAGTCTTGAAGAGAGATCCTCAACTCCATCAAGTTCTGGAGGATTCTGGTTTGCTTTTCCCCCTTTCCCCACCCTTACCATACATTTTTTTTAAAAAAAAGAAATAGTTCATTCATTTGTTAATTCATTTGAAAAATACTTACTGTCTGCCTGATGTGTGTCAGGCACTGAGTTAGTGCTGGGAGCTCAACAATGACTAAGACCGAGTCATCGCCTGTCCGGAAGCTCCCAGACAAGTAAGTGCAAGCCGACAAACAGGCGAGCGATGACCCCTGGGGAGACCACCTTGGAGCCCGAGCCAGGGCACCCTCTCACTTGACCCTCCCTCCCACAGCCATTTGACATTGGCTGGTGGCTTGCCCAAGGTCATGGGGCAAGTGAGTAGGGGATCTGTGACCCCTCCTCAGCTCTTAAGTTCTGAGCCCCTGTTCTGGGCTCTTACCAGCCTGGTCCCTGCAGGAGGTGGGTTTGCTGCCTGGGGGTGACCGCTCGTGGGGTTGGGCTGCTGTCTCTCCCCTCAGAGAGCGGAGCGGTGCCCCTCTCCTCCTAGGCTACCTGTGAAAGGTCTGGTGCTCATGTGGGAAGGGCTGGAAGGTGAAGGCTGTGGCGGATACTCTGTTCCCTGGGGCGTGGCTGAGCGGGGCCCCTCCTGCACCCTGTCGCCTTCTTCCTCCTCCACCTCCTCCACCTCTCCCTGCGCCTTCCCTCTCCTCCCCTCTCCTGCCGCAATGCTCCCCCCACCCTTTCCCTTCCTGCCTGTTTTCTACCCCCACCTTCACCTCCTCTTCTTCCTCCTCCTCCTGCTTTTCTCCTTCGAACTAATTGCTTAAGGGGTGAAGACCAGGTCGACTTGTGAAAACTCTGATCCATCGCCATGGTGATGCTAATTCAAGCTGAGTTCAAAGGAAATTGTTCCAGTTAAAACTAACAAGCTGGAGCTGGGGCCCCAGGAAGGACCGGTGCCAGG